TAAAATATGTATGTTAGAATAAATTAGTAAAATATGCAATGCACCCAAAGGCATTTGAGGACTAGCAGTTGAAATACAAATAAGCTTGTTCTATTGTGCAGAGTCTAAGGTTAGTCTAAGAATGTGCACTACATTTTCTAAAAAATTTTTTTTTTTTAAATCTAAAAATAAATAAGTAAATAAAAATAACTAAGAATAATACCTTTTCTGTTCTCTAATTTTGTACAAACCAATTTATGTCTATATATTTGTTAACAAAAGAGAGAGAGAAAAACATGTGTTTTTAAAATTAATAGTCAACATGTATAAACTTCAAAACCTACAGTATTCTCCAATCACTTTTTTATAGAAACAAAAAAGAGAACGCCAAACAAGAAAGTTCACGGGATTACAAGAGGTAAGTCAGATATTTTTTATACAGACTCAGAGGTCACTCTAGCATATTTAACAGTACAGGGCCTAATGAGAAAAACATAATTCTGAATATAGCATAATAACATACTAGTGGTCATTCCCGGGCTGGACATCGGGCACAACGGCAAATGCCGCGTCTATGAAGAGCCGGCACTATCTGAATGCCAGCCCTGCTGCATTCCATGACGGGCCATGGGGAGATCAAAAATCTCCTTCACCGGCCCACATACAGTTTATTACGGCCACAGGCTAGAGTTCACTCATCACTAGCACCATCAGGGATGGCAGCAGCACGATCCCCCCTCCCAGGCTAAAGGTAAGAATGGAGAGTGGATATAATCACTCACACACACACACTGCACGTTGGCACTCACAGCACCCACACACACACACACACACACACAAACACACACACTGCACCCCTGCCACTCACAACACCCTCACTCTCACACATACTGCACCTCTGGCACTCACAGCACCCTCACTCACTCACTCACACACACACTGCATCCCTGACACACACAGCACCCTTACTGCACCCCTGACACTCCCAGCACCCTCACTCACACACACACACACTGCACCCCTGACACTCACAGCACCCTACCTCACACACACACACACAACTTCCTCACAGGCACATAGCACCCTCATGCAAACACAGCACCCATCACTCACACACAGCACACACACACACATTGCATCCCTCACACACACAGCACCCTCACACACACAGAACTACACCCCTCACACACACTGCACACACTATACCCCTTACACACACACCACCCTCACACACAACTTCCTCACAAGCACATAGCACCCTCACGCAAACACAGCACCCATCACTCACTCACACACAGCGCACACACACACTGCACCCCTCTTGCACACACTCCACCCTCACACATACACTGCACAATACTCTTTCCTGGCATTTTTGTCTCCTGGTATCCCATCTATGGAGATGGCAGGGACAAATTTCAAGCAAACACAGTGCAAGCATGTTATTAAACCTGCCCTGTGCAGAACAAATGCATGGTCTTTTTCTTATGCTAGAGCTCTTCAGCAGAGCTCTGCATATGGTCTGCCCTGGAACAGCATTGAGCACCACTTTGTGATGGGGCGTGCTTGTAAAAAAAAGACTTGTAGAAATAGGAATATTATTCTTGAATACAGAGCATCTGCGAAAATGATCATAGAGGAAGTGAAATACTGAACTGGCAGCCTCGCTTGTTGGACAATGGGATGTGCTCTATGATTCTTTTCCATCACAGTTGCACATAAATCTGTATGAATGTTTATGACAATTAGTACATAGAAATTCCAGTGTGTTAGTCAAATATTGTCTCCTTCATAGGGGAGTTTAGCCTCTCCACTTCCATAATATTAATTTTAAATTCTGTTTATGAATAGACAACTGATGGTATGAACAAGTATTTAGTCTTATTTTGGATGGGGGTGATTTAGAAGAACCACTCATGGTCAGTGAGTGTACCCTATCTTTGAAGTCACTGACAGTATTGCATTTGATGCTACTATCATGGCACCTTCTCCATCCTTCTTATCTTCCTCTGGCAGCTCATCCAATACTTCTCACTTAATTAACACTAAATTACAACCAAATGTGAGGCTATATTCCATTAGAACTTTGGGGACTAATTGTTGTTTTGTAATTTTTGTGATCTCTAAGTGTGTATAAAGTTATCACTGATATCCTAGGTTTGATTTTTGGCTCATCTTGACTATTCTAATGTCTGATTCACTGGATTTGGCATTCATTGGCTTTCCATTACTCCTGACCTACATCTTTTTTGGGGTATTCTGTAACTCTGGTTTGTATGTTTGTTCGCTGTGTTGCACCGAATCCTAACAGTGAGCTAGATAAACAGTTAGTGTCTCCCTCTATGGGGGTCATTGCAGCAAGATGTGGTGCCTTGAAGAGAGATCCAGAGCTTTGCAGGATCTGTGTTATAATAAATTAAATTTTTCTGTTGAAGAGTTCTGAATAAACCTTAGAAATGTTTTGAATATATTAACAATTTGATCTTATCATATTTCAGAGATGTTTTACACTGTGCTGAGAACAATCCTTTTAGATTTCTAGTACTGGGTTCAAATATGTAACTTAACATATAATATTTCTTCTACTGCAATTTTCAGGATTCTTCACATTGTCCATGAGAGGTGTCTTTTTTTCCATTCTCCTAGACTTGTATCAGATTAACTATATAGTAGTAGTTTTTTTTTCTAGTTGAATTTAGAAATTAGTTTTTAGTTTAAATGTCCCTTTTGTGACAGGATTTTCCCACTCCCCGCATCACCAGTGATGCTTAGGGCATCACTATCATCTCCTTCCAGATCCACCCACATGTTCTCTCACTTGCATACCTCCTAATTTTGGGAGTTATTGTATGACCTGCTGTTTTTTTATCTTCCTGCTCCCCATCTTCCTGCTGTGCTTCCCTACCAAACTTCTTTATTTTCCTATTTTCTTTTTGTGCCTCAAAATTGCTGTGCTATGTGCATTACAATGCCCCTGCTGCCCTTCACTATCCCATTTAAATGTCCTCACAGTTTCCCACTTGTTTCTAAATCCAGAAGCTGTTGTTCATCAGCCCACTCCTGTATTTTCTAGAGCATGTGCTGTTTCCCTCTCATCTCCTTCTTTATACTTACATCTCCCTAATTTGTCTCCTCATTCTCTTGCTTTGTTTCCCAATACCCACATACTGTTTGAGGTTCAGGTTGTGGAACTATTTGTCATATACTTGGATAACTTTTTTTAAGTTGCTTATTTTTTTTGTCTCAGGGTTATTCACTAAAGTTTAAAGTAAATTCAAAACAAAATTCACATTTTAGGTCAAATAAGCTCAACTAGAAGCATAGATATTTTTTCCAATTTGGCTATTTGGCCTTCAATTTAAAATGTACTTTGAATTCACTTTGAATTCTCACTTCAGTGAATAACCTTGAGAATGTCCCAAATTGTAATTTTATTTCCAGTAGTGAACACTATTTAAATTGACAAATTGATGCCCTTTACTTAGCAAATGTTTACCTATGCGCCTGAATAATAATATCTACTTGAGCACTTTATAATTATGTTACTAAATGAAAAGTATTATGTATTAATTACAGGGACATTGCAGTTACTATATTTATTGTCTGTTTAGCAACTGTTGTTGCTAAGCAATTTATTGCTTGTAGTGAGTATTGAACCAACACAGTTGTACACAATCACAAGCATACAGTCACACAATCAGTAACAAGTACATGGTCATTAACAGTAACGGACACACCAGTAACACAGTCATTAAATTTCCTTCTCAAGCAATACACAGGAGTATGGGAGTGGTCCGCAAAGAGAGACAGGAGGGAAGTTGGTGAAGAGAGCCTTCCCATTATGCCTGTCACTTTTTGCTGTGTGGTCATGAGGGAACATGGTAAAAGACTTCATTATAACTTGTCCAGGTCTTGCAGGGAAGGAGCTTCCACTTTGAAACATTTAGTGGGTACAGACTGATACAACAGCATCTGCCTGCTAACTGCTACTTAAAGAGAGCATTACTAGATACAAGAGACTATAACTCGAGTCACCTCTATCCACATCCCAGTTCCCAGAATTTTAAGCTTCAAGAGAGGAAAATTTAATGGCTGTGTGCTTGTGACTGTACCCCTGTGACTCTTTGTGTGACAGTGTGTATGTGACTGTGTGTGATTGTGTGCATGTCACTCTATGTGACAAAGTGTGAACATATGCATGTAACTATGTGCATCTAACTGAGTGTGTATTTGACAGTGTGCCTTGGTTTGCATGTGACTGTGTGTAATTGTGTGATTATTTATGCTGTGATGGTGTTATTGTATGACTATGTATATAAGTGTGTGTGCGTCTAGGTTTGTATGTATGATTGCATGTCTATATATGTATGCATGTGAATTTGCATGTATGTGGGAGGGACAATAAAAGGGTAAGATGTTTACCAGTAATACAAGATGTAAAGGGAGTTTAAGAGACAAACCAAGGGTGAAGGGGGTTAGAGATACACCAGAAGTGACATAGGTTAAAAGGCACACAAAATGGTAAAAAAGGGAAATTAGGAGAAATGCACCAAAAAAACTCAGGAGTTACATACAAAAGGATGATGTGTATGGTACAACAAACACATGTTCACAATTATATGGGTGCCAAGAAACCAAAGTATGCCTCTACTTGTAGTCAACCGATTTAAATGAGTAACTCCACTTTAATTGACTAGATGTTGGCATGTTGCAATATGGCATATTGTGCTGTGGAACCTCTATAAACCAGAGGGCTTCAACATAACATGCTGTGCCAGACCATCTTCATTTCCTTACTGTATCCCATTTACTAAGTTTTGTTCCTCCACACTCATGCTTTGTAGCTCTCTTTTCTCATTATATATCATTAAAATATACTACAGAGGAGGCATGGCCAACTGCCGAACGGAGCAGCCGCATGGAGTAAAAGCTCTGTGAACCACTGAGCCCAAAGCAACTACTAAGCTATCAAAGTCAGCAAAAAAGAACGTGTTTTGGTGCTAGCAGACCCAGGGAACCAGATGGCACCCTCCAAAAAACTTAAGATCATGGACCCAGTGCTGCAAAGTAAAAAAGACTGCACGCAGCAGTTACAAGATGGCGACGATCCTATGCTCCACTCACCAGCATCAGAGGGTCCCATGGAATTGGAGGGGTGTTCCCTCTCACAAGATTATGTCCCAGTGACCAACAAAAGCTTGCACACCATGCTGCAGGACCTCAAAGGATCCCTCCGAGCTGATCTCCGCCAAATAACTGTGGATTTACACAAAGATATTCAGGATCTGGGGGGCCGCACAAGCCACTTGGAAAGCAAGACTGAGGAATTCTGTACTGCTCACAATGATGCAGTGGAGAAACTGCACAAGCTAGAAGAAGAGCAGGCCGCAATGCGACTGAAAATCGGGGATATGGAAGATAGAGCAAGGCGCAACAATCTCCGCTTTCGGGGAATTGTAGATGCCATAACATCAGAGGGCCTACCACAGTACTTGATGGTATTGTTTAAAGCCCTCCTACTCCATCTTGATGGAACAGCCTGGACCTTCAACAGAGTCCACCACCTCCCTAGACATGCCAGATTCACTGCAGACACCTCAGAGGACACCACTACTATGGCTCCAAACAGGAGCTCTTGAAAGCGGCAAGAAAACTTCCCACACTTCCCACACTGTCGGAACCATATCAAGGAATCAGTATTTTTGCAGCTAGGAGAAGAGACTTCATCGACGTAACTAAAACGCTACGCAACAACAACATACCTTACAGAAGGGGATACCCGACAAATCTGCTTGTATGGTACAGAGGTAGATCATTGGCAGCCCTGGAGCCAGAGGTGGGAATGGCTAAGCCCAAAGAATGGGGCCTGCACCATGCTATGGGGCACTCCTCTCCTCAAAGGCCTTCACCGAAAAAGCTTAGACTGGATTCAACACTAGTGGGTGCTCCAAAGAGGCTGAACATCAGCTCCGCAGATTAAAGCTCAACCAGTGGTGCATTGAGTCTATAATGACCACTTGAGTATCAATTATTGTTTATCATTGTTTAAATGTTAACCGTTACCTTCTCGAGTAATGAAAATCTGAGTTCTGTGTCTTAACTGACTTATTAACGGTTGATAATAATACCTTAGAACTAAGGGCTTAGAACTAAGATTTCAAAGATTTTAAAAACGGAACATTTTCAGACAAACTAACAAAAATACTAGACATAAAAATAGTTACAGGGGCTCTTCGTCTGGTGAAACGGATTGGTCAGATCAGGACCAACAGTCACAACACAGATGAAGATCTCCACACATACATAATATTGAACGAACAAGAGATATATGTTCTCAGCCAAGTTCCAATAAGAGCATTCTTAAAAATTCTGATAAGGTGGTCTCGTTTCTTGACATACCTATCCCTGTGTACACCAATAACCCTAATTCCACCGTTCCTCCCACCAATCCTTTTTTAGATCAGGAACAGCCCGTCAACAACGGCCCGTTTGAGAGACAGGGACCGTTGGTCATACAAGAACCAAAATCGGACTCAAAGGCCATAACCTCAGAAAAAATAATTAACCTTACAGATTTTCAGCTTTCAGCACATCATATTAGTCTGCTCAATAAGGGACTATCTTTTGTACCTACTCCGACTTGTAATAAGTTTAATTGGTCCAAGGACTTGAATCTCTTTGGTAGAAAATTGGACCTCAATATAATGCACGCCAAAAAAGATCAATTAGCAGCAAATGAATTGGGCCTCACAACACAAGAATTTGAAATGTCTAAAACTTTAGACAGCCTTTTGTATGAAAATGATCCCATGAGACCATTAACAGACTTTAAGCCACCTAGCTACTTTACTCCCAATTTCTTAGACACCCCCCATGTTGATCTCTTTCTCCAGATGTCACTCAATGAATTTGAGACTAACAGCAAGTTAGGTTGCATCACAAGCAATTTGACTTTTTCGGAACGCAGAGCTCTTAAAGATCTACAACAACAAACCGATCTAATAGTTAAACCAGCTGACAAAGGTGGTAACATCATTCTCCTAAATCGTTCTGAATATGTTAGCATGTGTATATCTCATTTGAATGACACCACATATTACAGAACTCTTCCTTCAGATCCCACGACTATCTATGTCAATGAACTTGAGATATTACTGCATGATGCTCTTAACCTACAGATTATTAATCAAGATTAACTCAAATTTTTACTGCCAAATAAATATCCAACCATTCTACTGTCTACCAAAAATACAAGGGCACTTGACCCCCTTCTGGTAGACCTATTGTCTCTGGCAATAACTGTCTGACAGAATCATTGAGCAAGTTCGTTGAAAAAATCTTACATCCCATAGTATTAAAATTACCATCTTACCTTCAGGACACTAAGTCCACTCTTCTTACATTGCAGGACATGACTGTCCCACCATACACTCAACTAGCAAGCTTGGATGTGTTCTCCTTATATACCAACATACCCCATCATACGGGTTTGAGGGCATGAAGATTTTTTCTTGATAACACCTCATATGATGATTCACAAAAGGACTTTATTCTAGCTTCTCTTGAGTTCATCTTGACACACAATTATCCAGTGCTCCAAAAGATTCTACCAAGTTACCCACCTCTAACAGCACGCAGACCAACCAACCTCCAAGATCAACTAGTCCATAGCCATCTCTCATCTCCCTTACCACCAACGAACTGGTTATCTGGTCTTAAGGGAACTTTCAAATGTGGCCACTGTAAGGCCTGTCAATATATTTCACCCTCAAAGTCAGCCGTTTCCACTTAAACACATATTAGCATCAATACTAATGCCCTTGTGAACTGCAGTACTACACGACTTATCTACTTAATTACTTGCAGCTGTGGAATCCAATATATTGGTAAAACCTTCCAACAATTCAGACGTAGGATTCTACAGCACATTAACTCCATTAACAACATTGTTACTCTAACCCCAGTAGCAAGACATATTCTTAACTTCCATGATGGCAAATCTGATAATCTACGATTTCAGGCCATCGAGAAATTGCTACCCAATCCAAGAAAAGGCAATTTTAACAAAATTTTGCTACAAAAAGAATCCCAATGGATCTTTGCTTTTAAGACCTTAGCCCCTCGAGGCTTAAATGAAGAATTCAACTATACTCCATTCATACATCGGTAGTCTGATGGTAATAATACATATGCATTTATGCCCATCTATTTTAAAATGAGGCAATAAAGATTCATCAGAACACATTAGTGACATTATAACTTAGTCACAGACTATTTACACAACAACCAATGGTGCTAGAGATATCTATCTTAATTACTGCTATTGACTGATATCTAGTTGATAAGTGTCTTAAACCAATGTAACTAAATTCTAATTTTACATTGGTAGACATTTTGGAAGCATTCTTGCTGATACACATTTGTATCCATACTATCCAATACTAACTATAAGGTGATATCTATCTTTGTATCACACCAGTGGCATCATAATCTAGCCACCACCTTCATACACAATTACTATCAGTGTTATGATTTGTTAGTAGACAATTATTATTGATTTATATTCATATTTCTATCGAAACAAGTTTTCCCAATATATAATTTATTGATTGCTACCTCAATCTCTATTGTCTATTGCTATGATTTACTGCTAGATGAACTATATAGTCTATTTATGACTATATAAACATAGAGTTATGGTATGCTTCACTTTGCAACGTTTCGTAATAGATAAAGAACTTTGCGTTTCCCTTTTTGATTCTACTGAGCCACCATACTCTTACACACACCCCTCAACTGAAAATGAACCAATCAGGTTGAAGGGCGGGATATTTAATCTAACCTCTGGAGGGAGTCATTTCCCCTGACGAGCCTCTAAATCAGGCGAAACGCGCGTCGGGCTCGACACTGTGCCGACACCATTCTTATATCGTTATTTGCATCCCTTTATTCCCCATGATAATTTCGTTGCGGTTTGCGGTTTAGACCTCATACCCATTATAATTATTTGGAAGCAATATACCGATCAGGGTATATTAGGAAGCAATATACTGACCAGGGTATTTGTTACTTAGCTAATTTACAGTATATTTTATTTTCTCTCTGAGTTCTTTTACTTTGTAACATTGGTCTATCTTTATTCTCCCTTTACTATAATTGGTGCCCATGAAGGCACTATTCCTATTTTATTTATCTTTTGATTATCACTAGACTATTACTAGAGGAGGTTAACTGTGTCACCTAGCTATCAAACAGTCCTACTATTTAGTTAGCCTGGTGTGATACTTTCAGTCACTGCATCAACCAAGCTCTATCTTTCACTACCAAGTGCTGCCTGCTTACTCTATTGCATTATTTGTGCATTATTTCAGCTAGTTAAGCACTGGAGCTTATTTCTGACCAACAAGTGACTCAGTGGGTTTAACTAAAACGGACCTATTGAGTTGGCATGTCTCCGTAAGATTAGTAGTCACGTTATATTTCGCTAATTCTACTTTTGGCACGTCTATACAGTGATGTAGCCCCTTTTACAGGAATCGATAAAATGACACATTTTTTTCCAAATATAAGCTTACAGATTTTGATATACATTTGTAGCTAATCTTAGCAGTCTAGTTTTAGAAAGTTATCTTGACTAAGTCTATTGTGACAATTTGTGTTACTCTCAGTGTGCATACTCCTAGGATACCATACTCGATATTATTCAGTTTTACAGTTTGTGGATTTATGCACACGGACTGACTTTTCTCTCTCCTCTTTTGTTCCATACTATTTCAATAAGCTTTGTTGTATATTTTGATTCTGAAGATTGTCACCATCAACTTTACTCCTAATCATTCAACCATATTTTTGCAATTTAGACTTTAATTTTGTAATTTATTTTTATTTTTGTTTTATGTCCCCCCCTTCTCCCCTTATCCCCCCTATGTATACACCCTAAGCATCATCATGTTGGTTAGACAGCCAGTCTATACTACATTATCGTGTTAGAGGTAGTTTATTTTGGGAAACGTCTTTTGATATATATTAATAAAGTATCTTCTAGATTTTTAATTTCAGGTACAGATTATTCTCTCTTTTCACTTTGTTCCAAAAAGTTAGGGTTACCCCCTTTCTGTTCCCTTTATATTTAATAATCTCATGGGCCACTTTTTTCTTCATATGCACAAAGTGAGCAAGGTCAAACCTCCTGTGCATAGGATTGCTATAAGTCCCGAAACCCTAGGTAAAAAACACAGGCACAACCCGCCCAAGCCAATTCAATGGCATAAGGACAGCCCGGTGTGAAACCCTGCTGACTCTAAAGTCCAAAGTTAGGGTTTGCGCAACTTGGACGCAGCATCAGTCCATAAGGCACCACAGACCTATACCCTTCTATACTGAAATGGTGGGACTCCCGCTTCTGAGATGGGGTGCACCGGTTGGGAGGCCAGATGAGATAGTCAGATCGGGCCCTAAGGTACCCACACTGCTAGGAATCTAGATGCTCTAATATCATTGTGCAATGAAGTTCGGTACTTAAGTTGATGCTTTATAGTTAAAGTTTACTCAGACGCCAAAATCTTGTCATTACGAACCTTATTTATGGGCTGAACATCGGTGGATTATCTGCCAACCCTCCTACACTGCAGAATGAGTA